GTTTCGATACCCGTGGTGGGCAGATCACAGATAGCCCATTGTGTAGCCTTGCGCTTAACTACAAACAAACCGAACATAGAAAAACACGTGAGAAGTATTCACACGAGCGTTGTCACGCGATTTGGATATGTAGCTTATACTAAACGTCTTCTAAGCATATATAACATGGTTTACTTTTTTAAATATAACTTATATTAATTAACGGTATCTCGCAACTTAGAGATATTGTAGGCCTTCCGACAATGTTTTCTGTGCAGATGAAAGACTGATAACGAGTTCTACGCGGCTTTGAAATGGTGTTTCTTAATACGATGGTTCTAAGCGCGCAGGATCTCTTTACTGTCGTGGAGGCCTTTCTGTATAATGCAGTGACCAACTTTTGCTTAAATTTGTTTTAATTTCGTCAGTTAAACGTGTTCGGTTAAAAGTTGACTGGAAATAACTAGTACTGAGAAGTGTCGTGTACGTTATAGCTGGTATTGCCTTGTAAAATGTTAAAGCTTTTTAAATATTACGATAATAACACTTTGATTTGTTATCTAAACATTTCTGTAAGTTTAAAGAAAAGAAGATTACCATTTGAAAACTTCTTTAGAACGTTGTGTGGAATTCACAGCTAATAACACTTTGATTTGTTATCTAAACATTTCTGTAAGTTTGAAGAAAAGAAGATTACCATTTGAAAACTTTCTTTAGAACGTTGTGTGGAATTCACAGCTAATAACACTTTGATTTGTTATCTAAACATTTCTGTAAGTTTGAAGAAAAGAAGATTACCATTTGAAAACTTCTTTAGAACGTTGTGTGGAATTCACAGCTAATAACACTTTGATTTGTTATCTAAACATTTCTGTAAGTTTAAAGAAAAGAAGATTACCATTTGAAAATTCTTTAGAACGTTGTGTGGAATTCACAGCTAATAACACTTTGATTTGTTATCTAAACATTTCTGTAAGTTTGAAGAAAAGAAGATTACCATTTGAAAACTTCTTTAGAACGTTGTGTGGAATTCACAGCTTATTAAAATTCACTCTCTTCTCGTTTTCTCGATTTTTAAAAAAATACTTTGTGATAGTTAATCGCTTGTGCTCTCAACGTGATGTTCTAATCACGGGAATAAAAAGTCTTGTGAACTTGTATTTGGAAATAAATGCGTGCGAAATAAATGAAAAAAAAAAGTCTAGACTGATTTATTTTTT